AGTTCAGCCAAAAATCTTAATGTAGTTCCAAACCTGTATGACTTAATAAGCATAAATATATAGATTTTTTTAATAAGCTCCAAAAAAATAAATAAAAATCTCCAAAGCCATATGAACCAAAGTCGTGTGAAATGAAAATTCAACCTTTATAGTTCTAAATGCATGTTTTGAATGATTCATCCATGTATGTTTTAGTGGAAATGTTTTTTGGCCTCATAATCAAAATGTTATAACTACAACCTCTCCAATCATTTAGTCTGAATAACTTACTATTTCTTAGAATTGGCTGCAAGCTTGCATTCAGATCTACCTCCATTTAATCAATAATCGACAGACAGAGCCATGTCCCGCTCAACATTTTTTTTTTTCTTTATAAGGTTTCATTTGGATGGATGTCACTATGGAAGAAATAAATCTGTCATTACTTTAATTTCATCGTGACTTTTAACCAATAAGAACCCTCTAGCTCGCTATATCATGTCAGTAATATGCTTCATTTGCGATTAACGTGTTTTTGGGCCCTGTGTTAAAAATTTGACAAATATATGCATATTTGAGCACTCAAACCTCACCTTTCTTCTTGTAAATGGGGATGTTTGTTGGGGCTTCAACTCCTGGTCAAAAACAAGCGGCCCTCTTAGCAGGTCCATGTTCAGGCCCTGTGATTAGAGTTGCTCCCCACAGTCTGGTGAATTCATTAGATGCTGCAGGAAAATCCCATATGCAGGGTGTCTGAGGGCCGGATGACTCAGAGCATATGTACACCCACCAATGTATGAGTACATAACTGGCCTCCCGGTTAAATGAAGCAGTGTCATACATATAGCAGCATGCAGCCGAAGGATCCAGAAATAGCCAGGGGAGAGACCCTATTAGGAAAATCCTAGAATGAAAAGGTGGAAAATTTATTAAAGGAGTACATTTCTGAGCAGTACGTAGGAGGGATGGATAGAGAACAGGAAGAACGAAAATGTATGGGAAAAATAGGCAGTAAAAATTGATTGTGAATCATTAATCTGTCATCTCTGTACCTTCGTGCTTAATCCCAGCAGTGACGCCATCACAGGACCTGTCCACCAGACGATGATTCCCTTCTCTGTTTAAAGGCTGGTTATGTAATTCCATGGAAAGTCTGACCAGGGGAACTACATGGGCTAGACAATCTCATTAAAGAGACATGATGCCTCGGCATGCGTCTCCCTCAACACTCTCCCTCTCCCTCCCTCACAATTGAGCTTTGTTCCACGCGTTCACTGTCTTTTTTTTATATCACTATTACTTCCTGTTGGGCACATTTATTATATGAAATTGCTTGAATATTAATGACACTGTACATCAGTTTTATTTAATTCTCTGACCTCATCATGTGATTTTCTCCGTCACTGGTCTGTCAGGCCTTCTCTCATCTGAAAGAGATGAACTGTGATGCCAGGTGACAAAACGTCGGATTGTTTTGGATGAACAGGACAACATGACAATGTTAATCCTCTTTTTAGACTTAAGTCTATACCACTAATTATGCGTATTTAGATTTTGTTTAGCTTGAAAGGGCACCTATGTTCATAGGTTCAAATAATTTTGGTTATAAGCAATGTATTAAAATAAAAAAATTATATGGTAACACTACCATAAGGTGTTGTGTATATGTATATATATATATATATATATATAGGCTATATATATTTCAATTATATATTTTGACAGTTACATTTAAAATACAATTGCCTATGTTAAATAATACTCTTTGAAGTATCTTGTGGGATAGTTTAAATACCCCATTCCACCACGTCATTGACACGCAGAGACAATAAATATAAAGCTGTTCTGCAGCAGTGCGGTTTGAGGAATGTATGTAGTTCCTGTTTCCTCGTGAGGAGTACAGTGTGTCCATGTGAACAGGGTGACATGACATCCAACAGCAGCATGACATGGGGCCTAGCGCTATTGTTTAATGAAAAAGGAACAGTGGCGTTTCCCACACTGGCTCACTGTTGTTCTCAGCTGATCTGTCTCAACGGGCTGAGGCCTGTCAAACCCTGCATTTAGGTAAGTAAAGCTATGTAAGCAATAACATATGAGGAAGAATGTTCTTAGCCATGAGGTAGCTGTACAATACTGTTTCGAACAAAAAGACGATTGCAAGATTTTGCTGCAGTACAACAGTTAAACAAACAAGAAAATAATATAGAGTAATTTACATTTTACAAATGGTAATGCCAGTTATTTTGTGTATGTGTGTTCCACTAACAAGACCAAAAAAATGTTTCAAACAAGAGTGTGTTGTTTTCCAAGCGACACAAAAAAAGTACAGGCAAATTTCATGAACGAATCATTAATGAACAAATCGGTTGATTAAATGATTCAATGACTCACTCATAAGGTGAACACGTTTTGTGTAGAGATGGGAGAAACAAACCTTTTCGAAGTTTTGAGTTAATTGAACCAGCTGCTTTGCAAAATGATTCACTCTTTCGAAGTGCTCGAAAGACCTCATGCCCCCAATTTCAGAGGCTGCATCCTTCAAAGTCTGTGAAGGTAGAACTTAACTATAAAATCACATTTTAGTAAGATGTAAGTCAACATTTAAACAGCTTTAACGTTTTTAGTTTTTTTTACATTTGTACATTTGAATTATTATATGTTCAACTGTTTTGAAACCAAAAGTGTAATCCTGCATTTAGTTTTTTTTTTTAAATCCTGTTGTCATTGGCACAATGAATCTCATTATAGTCTGGGTCGTGAAGGATCCATTAGTTGTATCCTTCATTGCTCAGGAAATGAAGGATGCATTTCTAAACTGGGACACAGCTCTTGACGGAGAAAATGGTGGATGGCAAATTAAGCTTTTCAATGCAGCAATCTGATTGGCTATTTGGGCTGTCACTCTTTTATTTGCTGCTGTAAGTTCAGTTTTAAGTCAGATAAAGAGTAAAATCTAATATTTAAAAAAACTTAAATATAATAAGCCCAAAGTTGTCTTCATTTGTTCATGTTTTGCTCTTGCTCACAGACAGTCCACATTACGTAATTTTCACAATTAGCTGATGTCTGTGCACAATTTTTGTATCCGCTTGGACTTGTGTGCATACAAATGCACATGTACGAGTGTTTTGAATGCTCAAAAAAGGTCTGTTAAGCCGAAAATATACTTTAGTTTTGATGTAAACTCTTAGCGTATGCAAACAGATGAACGCATAGAGCTTTAAGCTCAATGCAAAAACATATTTTTTAGGATGGTGCAGTTCAAGTGTTAACCATTTGTTATAATCATCCATTCCACCATGACACTCAAATCCTGCACTTGCAATGGCTATAAGAAGCATTATGACAGGTTTGATGTTAGTCAAATACTCTTGGTACTTGTGTGGCTTTTGCCCTCTTTTGATAAAAATTTGGATGTATCTTTTTGAGTGAGATTTAGCAGAGAATAACAGCTAGTATACTGAACACTCAATTCAAAATGACACCTGTGCACAGACACTGTGCACTCAGTTTTGGCCAGTCTCTTTAGCGATAATGCTTTGGCCCGTGGAGTGTCCGTACTTTCTGTCATAGATCTGCAGGTCTCTAAAGTCCGAAGAGGTTAAAGAGCATTTAGGGTTGAGAACTGGACCATCTGATTCTATGGCCATCCCAGAATATCCTGGTCAGCTGGTCTCCATGAGGGACAGAGCTCATAGAATAGCTCGTCCCACATGATGGTGGGAAGGTGGCTGTGTCAGCAAGCGCTCAGTGTGAGAGTGTGCGCTCATGTGCCCTTTGTACTGCCTGCTATGCGCGGTGGTATGTATCTAAAGGTCGAGGGGAGGTACATGAGGCTCCAGCGGGGAGATATCGGGCCACTCGTTGCCCTGGATCCCAAAGGCCAACATGACACTGTCAACTCTGAATTCATTATCCTGTCAGGAGTTCGTATCTTAACAGTATTATATCAAGGAACTCAGATTACTGTCGTATCAGGTTTTTTTGTATATCTGATCGCATAAAAATGACTTTTAAGTTAGTTACCGTTTAGTGACAGATGGCATACTCATTAGAGAGACATTCTGGGGTTAAGTGAGTTGCCCAAGGGCGCAATAGTCACAGATCAGGTTTGTGATCCCAGTAACTCTCCAGTCACCCTTATTTTGCATAGGGTTTGGGTTAGGGTTAGGTAAGATAATCTTGGTGGCTTTAGGCTACCACCACATTCATCTTTGGATATAGACCTTTATTTTTGGATCATGTGAGCCTGACTGATAGATCACTGACCCTTTTTTAATGACACTTTGAATGCAATACCAGTGTCTTGGATAGTGCTGACTGTAGACAGAGCGCAGTGTTCGGTTTTACAGGTGTGTCTGTTTTGCAGGTCCAGGCAGCTCTGATCAACTCAAAACAAAGTGGAACAAACAGACACCCTCCTGCTGGAGCTTACAGGTATTACACACACTCACCTCACTGCTTGGAGCCTATCTATCTAGCTATCCTTCTGTTGCTCTATCTATCTATCAATCTCACACACACACGCACACACACACACACACACACACACAGTTGAGTGTATGATGAGCTTGTCATGCAGAAGTGTTCAGGGCTCCTTTGATTCAGTAAAGCATGGGTGACTAAAGAGATCCTAACACATGTGACCTGTCGGCTGAAAGCAGAGCACAGGATGTGTGAAAAGGCCACAGAAAATGGGCTCCCTGAAGGGGAATAGTGTCTCGGATACCACTTCCTCTCCTAACACAGGATGTTTCCTACAGTTTCATGTAGTGTCAGGTCAGCACAATGTGTCACATTATGACAAGGCTGGATGAGAGTAACACACACACACACACACACACACACATCACCGTGGCTTAACGCTGACAGACCAGTCACCTGTCTGTTCCTGGGTGCCCTCCTCATCTTTTTATGAACACAGGATCACAGCTTAATTCTGAGCCCAGCAGTGAGTCACATTACATGAGCGGATTGCTGATACATTTTCAATATTCAGGTTTTCGTTTTGTTCATAGAATCGTTTTAATGGCGTACATGCCGTTCTCCACGTGGCTGCACATGCACAACGCAGCATGCGTGGGTGAACTGACGCAGTCTCCATGACTCACTCTGACACCAAACCTCACTGACAGCATCATTAATGTCCTTCTGCGTCTGTGGCAGGTGAGCAATCACAGAGCTGCACAGATCAGACCCACATACAGCCATCGCACTGCAGCATTCATCAAACAGCCATGCAGAGCTCGAGAAATCAACTGATCTTAGCAACGATCATTTTTTTTGTTTACATTTTTTTTAAATAAATGTAATTGTTCTTTAATTAAATGTACTTTCACATGTAAATTTTAACCTGCTCCTGAAATAGATAAAAGCTTTTTAGCAAAAAAAATAAATAAAAATCAAGATGAACGTGATCTGCCTTGATTGAGGTAAATTTCCACATTATGTCATATTTTTTGCTCTGTCTCAGGCTGTAAATCAAAAAGTAATTTGGGTAACACCAAATGCCATAAATCATAAAACACCAGAGAAGAGTGAAGCCATTGAAACAGACACAAGGTCTAAATGATTTAACCATGTCATTAACAGTGAAACTAATATAGGCGCTGTCATTAACATTTTTGTTTTATATGAAGTTGAAGAGTATGTTGAAATCGGCAAATTCAGGAAAACATTGGGAAAACAAACAACACCATAGTGCTTTTATGTTTATATTCTGGCCTGTTCCCATGGCAACATGCTTATAATTCCACTTTTGGAAGTCTTTTGAGAGGAGATGATTACAACTTTAATCTTTGACTATGAAGAGCATTCAGAATGAGCCTCAGACATGTCTAGCACCAGACACAGACTGTTGAAAAACTGCTGTTAGTAAGATTTTTAAAGAAAATTGTACTTTTATTCAGCAAGGATGCATTACCTTGATTAAAAGTGACAGCAAAATATTTATTTACAAAAACTTACACTTACAAAAAAAAAAAAAAAAAAGTAAATATCACAAATAAATGCTGTTCTTTTGAACTTTCTATTCATTACAGAATCCTGAAAAAAAGTATCATGGTTCCACACAAAAATTAAGCAGCACAAATAAATAGTTTCTTCTGCACCAAATCAGCATATTTGAATCATGATTTCTAAAGGATCATGTGACACTGAAGACTGGAGTAATGGATGCTGCAAATTCAGCTTAGCATCACAGAAAAAGAAGGAAAAAAACAATTGCAACAATATTTGACATTAATACTGTTATAAATATTTACTCTTTTTCTGATCAAATAAATGACACAAAAAAACATTAAAAAATATCCAAACTTTTGAATGACAGTGTTATCTCATACTTCTGGAAGCCCATTTGGTTTAGAAACCTTCAATATTACTTCTGCAAGATGATATAAGCTAGCTTAGCGACTGTACAACCACAGAGCCTTATTGAATATAATATACAATCATGACTGCTTTTTAACTAAACATACACTATAAATATAATACAATGACAAAGCATTCACTTAAACATTCTTTATTTCGATAAAAGCAACAGACACAGAGACGGTGACATTCTGAATCTGAAGAGAGTCCTAAAATAAGAGCCAAATTAAGATCGCAAGGTCCACATTGTGGCCAGCAGAGGGCAATACTGTTTTTAAATAGACTTGGATGGCAGCATTAAAAAAAACAGAGACCGCATTGACCTTGACCATGTGATTTCTGGAATGCAAACTTCAGTACATTCTGTTATTGTTACAGGAAATGTACAATAAACTCTTAACTTGTACTAAAGCATCTTAAGAATATCAGCTACGGCCAATATATATCAGATGGCTACAGAATGTGTAACCTTTTGAACAGTTCTTATTAATGGCAGATAACCGTCCTGTGATTAACAACAAAATGTGTTTTTACACTTTTGTTAGTTGGGTCCCATCCTGGTTGTTTTGTCCGGTGAATCCAATGCTTACTAATATTGCAGATTCTAATAAGGGTTCAGATATGCGATTGGCCAGTACACAATGTTCAGACATGGCTTGTAAAAACCATAATTGCACGTAATTTAGTGTCTAATCCAGGACAGTCTTACAAAACGGCATAATGCAGATGGATTGTTCCAAACTTTTGTCTCGGCAGGAGCTCGGCACCGGCAGTGCTGCAACACGCTCTTTGCGATCCAGCTGTCGGCCACATGTGTGTGATGGGGTCGTTGAGTCCATACCCAGCTCTACATCATATCCTTTCTTTCAGTGTTCCTGTAGACCACTATGTTGGGATTGAACAGAAGGCGGCTGAAGAACCCCAGCTTCGTCCAGAACATTCTGGACTCTTCTGGTTGTGGACGTAGTGTGAAAATGCTGAGGAAAGCCCTTCTGTGGATGAGAAGGTGGGGCTGCTGGGCCTAATCCTGTTATCCCAGCCTTCTTAATCCAGATCCAGTCAGTCTTTACACATCTTCAGTCACACAAACACACTTCCAATACAAATATATCAGACATTATGGAGGAAAGCATGATGCTGGGTGTTGAAGGGATCAAGAAAAGCATCTTGCATGGAGGGATCAGTGAGAAGCCTAAATTTGTCACAGGAACTAAGGTACAGCTTCACAGTCATATGTTATACGCATATATGGCAGGAGCGTCATTGCATTTGTAACAGTAGAAACTGTTCCAGGATGTGAGTCATTTCATTGTTTGCCTAACTGAATCTAGGGATCACGTCTTTTTTCATTAAACTCATAATAGGTTGTTTTATGGCATTATATAATCAATTTTAGAGTAGACACAGATGTGTCTCTTTAATGTAAACTTTGTAAGCTGTCATCTGTAGGGAGTGTGTGGCTTTGAATAACCAAAACTATAAGGTCTAATGAGGTATATAAAGATTTTTATTGCGAAGTAATAGTTTTTTTTGTGGATTTAACAGCAGATTAAACCCAAACTAACAAAATATCTAACTCTTTCGTTCCATGTTCCCTGCAGGTGACGTTCCATTTCCGCACTCAGCTCTGCAATGATGAGCGCACCGTGATAGATGACAGTAAGAAAGCAGGTATGCCCATGGAAATGGTGATCGGGAACATGTTTAAACTGGATGTTTGGGAGACTCTGCTCATGTCCATGCACATAGGGGAGGTGGCTGAGTTCTGGTGTGACGTCATTGTAAGTATAATGTGATTTTCAATACTACAAATTACAGAGGTGGAATTAAACATTGTGATTAAATTGAATAGTCCAGACTTATCGGATATTGAACTGGATCTAAAGTAAATGGAATCTATCGAATTAAAATTCAAAGACACAAAAATCAATAATAATAATAATAATTATATAATTTTATTGACTATTAATTATTATGTGAATTGTCTATTATTTGTAGTCAAAAACTACATTTACAATTATATGACTTTCTTTGAATTTTATTCTATTTTAATACTACTTCCTCAAATTTATTTTTTCAATTGTACATCCTCTGGCTCCCTCAAATTAAGTTAAATTGCAATTTAAAAGCCATTCTCTTTTCTATTCTCAATGGTGCTAAAATTAAGTTATTCATATATGTAATATTCTACCATTCAAAAGCTTGGGGTCAGTAAAATTTGTAACGTTTTTGAAAGAAGTCTCTTATGCTCACCAGGGCTGTACAGTAAAAGCAGTAATATTGTAAAATATTATTACAATTTAAAATGTCCATTTTCTATTTGAATATATTTTAGTTTATTTTTCAGCAGAAATCATTATAATATGCTGATTTGGTGCTCATGAAACATTTCCTCTTATTATCAATGTTGAAAACAGTTGTGCTGCTTCATATTTTTGTGGAAATGGTGATAATTTTTTTTCCTTTCAGGATTCCTTGATGAATAGAATGTGCAAAAGAATAGCATTTGTTTGAAACAGAATTTTTTGTAACTTTATAAAAGTCCTTAAGGCAGTTTTTGATCAAATTAATGTATTCTTGCTGAATAAAATACATTACTTTAAAAAAATATTCCTGAACTTAAAACTTTGAACAGTAGAAGATTATCTTAAAAAATTATTCACACCTCAAGTTTGAGTGAAGGCCAAATTGTAAACTGATATCATAACCTGATAACCCTTTACACAGTAAATGCGTTCAGATGAGACGTGGCGACTGACTTTTCCGTCAGTGACCTTTACGGTACGCTACAAGCACAACGTTATGGAATACTACAGTGAGTTCCAGACTGTCATACATTAGCCTGATGGAAAGCTTAAATCCTTACAAAATAGGATTAATCTGAGGCTGTTCCACATGATGTAATCATCATTTACAGCTGTCATCCCAGCTCCAGAACCTGAGATACAGTTCTATGGCTCTAACGGTCTCTATAACATTATGGGAAATACCAGGATTGTTAATACAAACACAGTCATGGACACATCAGCCACATAAACACACACTTTTAAGCTTTAGAAAAGTGCCATGGCTTTTAAAATATCAGTTGTAAATGGAAATATTTGCAGTAACTCCAATAAATTTAACTTTTACCCTGAAAAATGACTTATATTAAGGATTAGAAATAAGTATTAGTGCTAATAAGCATTTTATGTTCTTTCCTCTGTGGCCGAGCAGCACACTGGTATGTATCCAATAGTGGCAAAGAGTCTGCGGCGTATCGCAGTGGGGAAAGATCCAGTGGACTGGCACATTCACACCTGCGGCATGGCCAACATGTTTGCCTACCACAGCCTGGGCTATGATGATCTGGATGAGCTTCAGAAAGAACCACAGCCTCTTTACTTTGTAATGGAACTTCTGAAGGTCTGGACTTTCAGGCACATTGAAAAAATATTTGCAAATTTTGCCAAAAAACATACTTTCATATTTAATACATGAATACTTTTACATGAAGAACAGGTCTCACACACTGCTTTAGCTTGCAAAGGCGGCTTGATATTTATCACTGCAAGGTTTTAGCCTAAAGACCTTCGTCAGGAATTTAGAAAGATCGAAATGCTGCAATGCTAACAAATACTTTGAATTGAATTATTCTTTGCAAGCTACAGCAGTGTGCAGGACTTTGTCTTCTTTAATAATATAATTTCCGGTTACACTTTACTTGAAGGGGTGTGCATAAGACTGACATGACACCTTCATAATCATGACGTGACACCTACATAATCATGACATGACACATGTCATGAATATGAAGGGTTTTTATGCATGTTTATGACAACTGTCATTAAGTGTCATTCACTCAGTTATGTCATTTTTAATGCAAAGATGACATTGTTTGAGATGTCTTTGTTATGGGCTATGGTTAGAGGTAAGGGTAGGGGTAGGGTTAGGTCAAATAATGTCATATTTGCATTAAAAATGACATAACTGAGCGAATGACACTTAATGACAGTTGTCATAAACATGCCTAAAACCTCCTTCATATTCATAACGTGTCATGTCATGATTATGAAGGTGTCATGTCAGTCTTATGCACACCCCTTCAAGTAAAGTGTTACCTAATTTCCATACGCACCCGCTGTAACCTTTCATGACTTTTTATTTGTGTATCTGCAATATGATAATTAGTGAAATACATTATTACGGCCTTGAGTAGATCTATGGGAGACTGCTGACTATGGCGGTTTAATACAGAGGAGCAGTACACAAAATGACCACTAGGTGGAGCTAGTGGATTGTTTTAATATCTGTTTAGGCTGTGGCACTAACTGGAAATTAATTATATGCGTTAAACTTACTGCAATAACCAATAATGGGTTCAGGTACAGCAGCCCAGTGAGTATGACAGAGAGTCCTGGGCTCTGAATGATGAAGAGAGATTGAAAGCGGTACCTGTGCTCCACGGTCAAGGGAACAAGCTCTTCAAACAGGGCCGATATGAGGACGCTACACTGAAATATAAGGAAGCCGTTATGTGTATCAAGAATGTGCAGACAAAGGTAAAAATACACCTCTGTAGCAGTTTTGTATACATTCAGTAGCATAAAAATGACTAAATTCTGTGAAAAATATATTTTAATCATGAAAGGATTGCCCAATACCAGTAATGTTATATTAAAGGGATAGTTCCCTCCCAAAATGTAAATTCTGTCATTAATTACTCACCCTTATGTTGTTCCAAACCTGTAAGACCTTTCATCTTCAGAACTCAAATTAAGATATTTTTGCATAGACTTGTTTGCAAGCAGAGGAATGCACACGCATGCGTCGTACTACTGTCGTGAATGCGTGTCGAAGACTGACAGAATGTTGAATAAAGTCTTTTTTTTGTTTGTTTTCTTTACACACAAAAAGTATTCTTGTAGCTTCATAAAATTAAGGTTGAACCACTGATGTCACATATTAAATGTGACTATTTAAATGATGTCCTTACCAGTGTTGGGGGTAATATATTACAAGTAATGCACGTTATGTAATCAGATTACTTTTTTCAAGTAACTAGTAAAGTAACGCATTACTTTTTAATTTACAAGAAAATATCTGCGTTACCTTTTCAAATAAGTAACGCAAGTTACTTTTTTTTTTCTTTCAATTTATTGATTGACAGCTCTCTTGTCCCCATGTTGAGAGAAATCAGATGTTACTGTAGTTCTAAAACAAATATGAATATGCATTAATTCATCTCACTCACAAAAAAAAAACAGATTCAGTATTCCTCAAAATGAATAAAAATAATGCAACTCAGAATATGATGCAAACCTGCAATAATTAAATGTTAAACAACACAAATATCCTTTATGTATTTAATCCCATTCTATTAACCAATGTCTTTGCTTCTGACCTTCAATGCTCCAGTTCAACCAAACTAATAAGCAAAAATTACTCTAGACAAATATTAGTGTGTCTTTTTTTATTGCTGAAGTGTTGAAATTTCTTCTTATGCATTCTACTGTACAGACGTAAATTTACTTTCCCTTCAGCCTGAGGCTTATTCATTTCACTTTTGGTGTGAAAAGGCTTTTACATTTGCCAAAAATAGAACTTTTTTATTTTAAAATCAAACAAGCAAGCCCTGTCCAGATTTAAAAAGTAATGCAAAAGTAACGTAACACATTACTTTCCATAAAAAGTAACTAAGTAACGTAATTAGTTACTTTTTTATGGAGTAACGTAATATTGTAATGCATTACCTTTAAAAGTAACTTTCCCCAACACTGGTCCTTACTACCATTCTGGGCCTTAAATGTGTCAGAGGGTAAGAGAGCTCTTGGATTTCATCAAAAATATCTTAATTTGTGTTCTGAAGATGAACGAAGGTCTTACAAGTTTGGAACGACATGAGGGTGAGTAATTAATGACAGAATTTTCATTTTGGGGTGAACTATCCCTTTAATGAGGTATGGCACGTCTCATTTAATCAAAATGTGTCTGTTTCTTCAGGAAAAGGCATGGGAAGCTCCTTGGCTGAGACTAGAGAAGATGGCCAACACGCTCACTTTAAACTACTGTCAGTGTCTGCTGCGCATGGAGGAGTACTATGAGGTCATCGAACACACGACTGACATCATCAACCAGCACCCTGGTGAGTAACAGGAAATTGTCAGTTCTCCAGCCAATTACAGACACAAACAAACGGCAACAGAAGTTTGTCTGGTTTAGTCAGATTGTCGTCTGTTGATCGCTTGGTTTCACCGACTGAACATGTGGCGATTGTTGGGTCTTGGAATGCCTGAGAAGAATTTATGTACTGTAATTGGTTGACTGTCGCCATTGATCAGCATCTGTTGATGCGATGTGAATTGGCCTTATAAGATGTGTTTCCTGATGTGAAATGCACCAGTTGAAAGCATTCTCTGTATTTGTAGGGGCAATGAAAGCCTTCTATCTGCGTGGAAAAGCGCACATGGAGGTGTGGAATGAAGCTGAGGCCAGAGATGATTTCATGAGAGTCCTGGATCTGGACCCAGGCATGAAAAAGACAATCAAGAAAGAGCTTGCAGTTCTCAAAATGAGAATGGAGTTAAAAAACGAGGAGGACAGACTGAAGTACAAGGGCATGTTCGCAAAAATGGCGAGAGAGCAAGGGTCTCTAGAGCTGGAGAATCCAGATCAAGAGATTTCAGAGCAAACATCTCCAGAACAAGAAACAACTCAAGAAAAACAGAGTCCAGAGGAAGCACCGCTAGAGAAAACAGGTGAAGAACAAACAAATTCACCACAAACATCTCCTGAGCAAATAACTTCAGCACAGGAAGTTACACAAGAAGAAACATCTACTGCACTATCAAGTTCTGATCATGAGATACCAGAACAATCAGCTACTCAGAATGTGACTCCAGAACAAACTACCACAGAAGAAGATACTCCAGAACAATTAGAAGCAGTACAAACATTTCTGGAGCAATCAGCTTCTGAAGATATTACTCCAGAGCCAACCTATCCAGAACAAGCAGACCAGGATCTTATAACTTCAGAACAAATGACTCCAGCTGAAATGACACCAGAAAACACCAGTCAATGAGTCTTAATCATAAAACAATTTCAAGAGAGGTGCAACAACGATGATGTGGGATAAAGTTGAACCCTTTAGACTTTTTACCTCTGAAATGCGTTGTTGCTTTTCTTCATGCATCTACATTATAATGTAAGATTTAACTTAGTGTGACTGTAGGTTTGCCAGATCATCCAATAAAATAGTACTCAATCAGTTGCTATGTTGTGGTGGATAATTGAATAATGAATAATTCATTGTCTCTAAATATGTCTCAAAACATCATAAACTTCATGATAACTCAGTATGTCCCACTCTTTTTGCACAGACATTGCAGTCCTATAATGAATTTAAATATTAAATATAAAATGTATCATGTTCATAAATTAATAATGTTTGAGTGATTTAAACATTTTAACTGAGCAAGTAAAACCGTTAGTAATAGCCAAAAATACATTGTATGGGTCAAAATTATAGATTTTTATTTTTTGCCAAAAAATGTTCCATGAAAATATTTTGTAAATTTCCTACTGTAAATATATTAAAACTTAATTTTTGATTAGTAATATGCATTGCTAAGAACTCCATTTGGACAACTTTAAAGACGATTTTCTCAATATTTTGCACCCTTAGTTTCCAGATTTTCAAATAGTTGTATCTTGGCCAAATATTGTCCTGTCCTATCCTATATAACAAACCATACATCAATGGAAAGCTTCAGCTTTCAGATGATGTATAAATCTAAATTTCGGAAATGATGACTGGTTTTGTGGTCCAGGGTCACCTATATGCCAGCACTGAGATGATTAATATCCTGAGGTTTATGAATCAACTTAGAATGACATGTGTTCAGGAACAGTCCGGATCAATGTCATTACATCAGAAGATATTGTTTTAAGGGGATTCCCTTGTGTTTGTCTGCTGTTTCCCAGCATATCTACAGTGTCCTCATGTAACCATGCTTGTCATTGAGTGGGGACACAGATACATAGATAATTTAAACACCATCCACTAGATGGATTAATGAGAGATCACTGATAAAAAGATACAATAATAGGTGGTCAAGTCTCATGTAACTTTTCCAAACATACTACTTTTATATTATTCAAAATATATGGGCTACTTTCTCTCTCTCTCTCTGTATCCTCCTTTGAAACACTTCAATCTTTGACTAATTGGTTAAGTAACCAGATAATAAGAAAATAGCATAAGTAATGCTTGTTTATGGTATAAAATGTTTTAAAAGGTTCGCAAACAGGTATTGCAGCATCCCCAGGGGAAGAACATTGGGAGCATTACATAGAAAGTCCTGCAGGACCAGCGCACCTCCATCATTGATGCAGAGGAGGTGAGAGAGGAACATCACTCCACTCACTGCTGCTGTGCAACCACTTTAACCTTCTGCTCCTCTGCTGCCATATCACAAAGGCACCTGCTTTTTCATTTTTACACAAGAAAACAGGTTTTTCTACGCCTTTTAAGACGTTTGGGAAATGCTGAAGTCCAGATGAGTCGCGTCTCTGTGGTTTAGTTGAGTGTGTGGGCAGAGGAGATCGTCTTCCGATCTGGATTGAACTGAGCGGAACTGAATCCATTAAACACGATCACACGGAGAGGATGACCATATCGACATGGGAGGATAAAGTCACAACGCCTCTTTGACTTGTTTTAATTAGTAGAAAAAAATTGCGAGAAAAACATCTGGACATATTCATTCGACGTTGAAAGTCATATTAACCTTATGAATACAATCAAACGCGTTTTTTTTTGTTTAAAAAAAACCCCGTAAACAATGGGAAATTAGCGTCGCCTGACAACTTTGATAATATTTCACATTCGCCAAAAGGAGTTTTTTTTTAATCTTCCAGAAACATTAACTTTGGATTTCCACAATGGCAATAAACACAGATACGGAGTTTGCGAAATCGAATCTGGGAGAGAGCGGCGGAACGCAACCAGCCGAGACCGAGAAACTCCTCGTGACCACCGAGCCCACCGGGGTAAAGACCTCCAGCTCCTTCACGGTCAGTGTCGGGGGTGACAAGACTCTCGACGGGGATCAGAACGGCCACAGTCTGCCGCTGAGATCCGGATCAGCGGGGCAGCTCGGGTCGGCTCCTCTCTCTCCGTCCAGAGTGAGCCTGAGCCGCACTTCATCGACCGGTACTGCCGCCCAAGAGCAGCAGAAACCCAAAGACTACCTCATACTGGTCATTTTTTCCTGCTTTTGTCCCGTGTGGCCACTAAGCATCGTTGCATTGGTCTATTCAATTATGGTGAGTATCAATAAGTTATAATTGAAATAATTCAAGTCTGGGTGTTGTTTCCTAATTCAGACCAGCAGTCCCACATTGTATGGTAAATATTTCTGTACAGCACGAAATTGTGCTGAAAGTACTTGGCCAAACAAGACAAACCTCTTTCATGTCAATAAACAGTGTCTATCTGTTGTATGGCAAGCCGCTTACACGTAGGCTATTCCTTAAAACTACTGTTACTAGTAGGCTATTTTAAAGTTGAATTCACTAGGAAGTCTGTAGTCACTAGTAGACTATCTTTTTACTGGTAACAGTAAATTGTTCCTGCATCTGTTAGTCACTTATTCAGTACTAATTTAACTACTTGTGCAAACAGTTACAACATTTTCCACAGTTTTCTTAGTACAAACGAATAGTACTTTATTAGAGACTAGTGTGTATTCTATTTGTTAAAACTAGTAATTTATATATGGTAAAAGGCAGTCATAGCTAGTGAGCTAAATAGTGTCTTAAAAATACTATCCAGGTACTAATACAAATGATCAAAACTGAAATAGATACTGGGATAGTTTAAGAAATAGAAATGTTAATAGTAATGTTAAAAATGTTAATAAATGATATCTGAATCACAGACACCATAGAATTCAATGCATTCTTTACCAATAACAATGGAACAAGTTACTTGTTATATACTTGGGATACTTACTAGCAAGGGAATAAGTACTAGTATGTAATGAATAAGTACAGTAAAAGTGAAAACAATAATAGTCACTATATTGATACTGTATATGATACTAGTCACTAATAGTTGGATTACTTATTGGCATTTATAACAACGTAATAAATTAGATTAATTTTTAATAGTACTAGTTTAGTTTTAAATTAATACTAGTGAACATAATTGCTAAAATGACTTGCCATACTCTTGCAAATCATATGCAAAAGCACAGGAGCTGCATTGAGAGAGCAGAGCACAGATCCACTGACAGGTGTGATTTACAGCCCTGCATATGCTCGCGGTAAATGGACCTGACTGAGTGCTGGGGAGCTACTCACCAGAAAATTGGTGCAGACTACCTCCACCGTGCACCAAGCACCTACACAGCACAAACTCTAGGGACTGTGGAGCAAAACAGTCAATTAGAAAGCATAAATATGGTGCAAAGTGTTTCCAAAGCATAGATACAAATATAATTATCTCTCCCAAAAACATACCAAATAACATCTTTATTTCCATCCACATAACTTAGAGGTCCAGAGAGTAAGAGTGCACATATGTTGGGTGTGGTACCATTTATCTGTATTTAATGAAGATGTACAAGACATGGCGTTCATGATATGTGACCCTGGACCACAAAACCAGCCATAAGGGTCTGCTATTTTTTTGGCTATTGCTACAAATATACCCCAGCGACTTAAGACTGGTTTTGTGGTCCAGGGTCACATATGTATAGAAAGAAACTATTTAGCACGATCCTGCGTTTTATAGACGTAGGGCGGCATTTCTTTTTTTGTCCCTCTCAAAAAGATACCCTTGTTAGCAGATAACAGTATGCACTGTTTTTCTAATCAGAGGCGAGTGCTTTTGTTCACTTTTTCATAATGAAAGAACAGCGACTCTGCAGCGCATAACCTCAGCAGGATACAAATTAGACTTTCCAGCCGAGTCACAGGAGAGCAGCTTTCAAACACATAATTTCAGTAAATTTAATAAGATACAGTCAAATTCAGCCTTAAGTGAATTTTGAACCATTGTGTGCTTGGTGCTCATTACAACTTTCTAAGTGTTTCAGTGGGACATGCTCTATTGGGGAGACACAAATTAGAGCATTAAAATCTCAACAGTGGAAAGGCGCCATACAAATGTGCTCCGGTTTCTTGTAAAGAGCAAAATCCTATATAGGTTTACAGTACAGATTACAAAATGATCCCTGCTGTGCCCATATCAAAAGCCATCCCGCTCTACGCCCTTCACAGAGCCTTTGTGTTAAGACAGATTGAATAATTAAGAGTCCTAGACGCTCCTCATGAACCTGATCTAGGTCAAGTTTTTGAGGCTGCATTGAAAGCTACCACTATTCTACTGCAAACACCTGTACTTCTGACCACACTCATGCAAATAGTGTCTCCCAGTCTCGTTTGTCCACACAAATACAAATAACCCCTTTATCCACCATGCCAACAGAGTGACAGCTGAAACCATAGCTACCTGACAATTCAACAGAGGGCAAGACAGATCAATTTAGCCTTCTAACCTGCTGTAAGGACCCCTCTGCATCATTCTGGGTCATAATTCTTAACCCTTTTGGTCAGTCAAAAATAAAATAAAATAATAAAATAAATAATCCAAAATTTCCAAATGGAATGTGTACAGGATTTCTATTAGAATTTGGATCATAACTTTTATGTGGGTAAGGCTTAAACTAGAACTGCATTCAAACTAATTCTAAAGACAATTTTTAGATGTAACACTATTGCATATTGCAAATATGCTGTATAAAATTCAGAATTTTCATTCTTTTTTTATTATAAACTTCATGTAAATCTAAAACAGCAACAAAACAACAACAAGCCACTTAGAGTGAGTGAGACACAGAGGCATGTTATTATATATCTTGTTTGGTAAGTTTAAAACATTAACATTGACATTTAAAAAGTGGAAAGTATGCAATTAAATAAATAAAAAAAAATGTATGATATGGTATTTTACATTAATGCTACATTTAAAAAAATTAAATCCGTAAAATATCAGAAAAAGCACTGGCAGCTCATTACACAGGACATTATCCTTATTTATGGACATTCCCGTTAACTATAAAACACAACCCAGTGCAGTGTAAAATACTGGTAAAAATTTGTGCTGTCAAACGATTAATCACGATTAATCACATCCAAAATAAAGGTTTTTGTTTACATAATATGTGTGTATACTGTGTATATTTATTATGTATATATAAATACACACATACAGTATATATTTAGAAAATATTTCCATGTATATATTTATATTAATATAATTGATATTATAAATAAATATTTTAAATGTATAAACATACCATATTTTTCTTAAATATATGCATGTGCGTGTATTTATATATACATAATAAATATACATTATGTCGATATAACGAGAAAATTAAGTCGTTATAACGAGAAAACAACTCTCTTTATGTCGATATAACGAGAAAATAAGTCGTTATTACGAGAAAACAAGAAGGGAAAAAAAATAATAATGCATGGCCGCTTAGAACTTCCGTATAATATAGTACATTGTCCCCTATTTTTTTACAGATTTTTAGAGTGTACTATTAACTAAGGATTTCTGAGATGAGCACAACAAAAATAGACGACAACAGTCATCTGAATTTGAAATCACACCGCACATTTTCATTAATGTGGCTTCACCAATATTCGATATTGCTCAATTTCAACATCCTTCAGGACAAAAAACAAAATCATGAAACCAAAGGGTATTAAAACACTTTCAAAATAAGAGCACAAAGATGAAAAAAGACAAAATAAGACAAAGCGCATCCCAAATTGTGTACTTATTCTATGCTGTTCACACTGACAATGACAAAAAGAAAAAGTTCACTTTAAATAACCTGATGATGCACTTTATTAACTGAAAAAATAAAGGGGGGGGGGGCTATCAGAATTTGATCATGAATGACAAAATAACCTTAAATTCATACACCACACAGTTGAGTACATAGTGCATAAATACATAGTGTATAAATGCATAGTGTATAGTGCGTCATTTGGGATGCAACTTTAGTGGCATCCACTGGCCACAAGAGGAAATCTAAAAAACAATGAAAAAAAAAAAGAAAAGAAAAAACGGGATGCTACAGAAAGATTTAGTTTTTGTGTTGGAAGGCTATATGAAAAATCCCACTAGGACGATTCCAGATGCATGCTCCAATAGCCACAGACATGGAAACAGTTCCTCTCAGCTGAGATCTAGAACGCAATTGTAACCGACGACATTCTAGCAAGGTTTTGTACTGTAGGCATGCATCAGGAACTCTGAAATCAATGAGCTTACAGAGGCAGTACAGTGACAAATAAGAGGTTGTGGTATGCTGGAGCTCATGCAAGCTGAAAGGAGTCATTTGGCAAAGGGGGGGGGGGGGGCTATCAGAATCTGATCATGAATGACAAAATAACCTTAAAAAATTCATACACCACACAGTTGAGTACATAGTGCATAAATACATAGTGTATAAATGCATAGTGTATAGTGCGTCATTTGGGATGCAACTTTAGTGGCATCCACTGGCCACAAGAGGGAGTCTAAAAAAACAATGAAAAAAAAAAGAAAAGAAAAAACGGGATGCTACAGAAAGATTTAGTTTTTGTGTTGGAAGGCTATATGAAAAATCCCACTAGGACGATTCCAGATGCATGCTCCAATAGCCACAGACATGGAAACAGTTCCTCTCAGCTGAGATCTAGAACGCAATTGTAACCGACGACATTCTAGCAAGGTTTTTTCTACTGTCTCCATCTGAAGTGAAGTGACATGTGGCCAAGTATGGTGACCCATACTCGGAATTAGTGCTCTGCATTTACCCATCCAAAGTGCACACACACAGCAGTGAACACACACAAACCGTGAACACACACCCGGAGCAGTGGGCAGCCATTTATGCTGCGGCGCCCGGGGAGCAGTTGGGGGTTCGGTGCCTTGCTCAAGGGCACCTCAGTCGTGGTATTGAAGGTGGGAGAGAGCGCTGTACATTCACTCCCACCCACCTACAATCCCTGCCGGTACGAGACTTGAACCCACAACCTTTTGGGTTATGAGTCCGACTCTCTAACCATTAGGCCACGACTTCCCTAAATTTGTACTGTAGGCATGCATCAGGAACTCTGAAATCAATGAGCTTACAGAGGCAGTACAGTGACAAATAAGAGGTTGTGGTATGCTGGAGCTCATGCAAGCTGAAAGGAGTCATTTGACTTGGCATGGGGAGGTGGGGTGGATTTTATTGGCCAATCTCAGTGCAGTGGAA